CAAGACGCTGCATAGGAGGCAGCTAAATAAGAGCCCATAGTGTTTAGGGACAAGGTACTGGCACGGATAAAGGGATTGGCTGACTGGCAAGAGGGTGGAGATAAAAGGGTCTCTTTCAGGATGGCAGCCAGTGATAGTGGAGTCAGTGTTGGGACCACAACTATTCACACTATACAGTAATGATTTTGGTCAAAAGAACTGAGGGCATTGTGATTAAGTTTGCAGAGGACACAAAGATACATAGAAGGACAGATAGTGTTGAAGAAGTGGGGAGGTGCAGGAGGATTTAGACTTGGATAGTGGGCAAAGAAGTAGCAGATGGAATACAAATGTTGGAAAGCGTAAAGTTATGCACATTGATGGGAAAAAGCGGCGTAGACTATTTTCTAAATGGAAAGGCTTCCGAAATCCGAAGCCTGAAGGGACAGGTTCAGCTGGTAGTTAGAAAAGCAAATGCAACTTTAGCATTTATTTCAAGAGGGCTAGAAAACAAGATTAGGGATGTACTGCCGAGGTTGCATTAAGCTCTAGTCAGACTGCATTTGGAATATTGCAAGCAGTTTTGGGCCCTGCATCAAAGGGGTCCAGGAGGTTCACAAGAATGATCCTTGGAACAAAGGAACAAAAACAAAGTTACTGGAAAAGTTGAGCAGGTCTAGCAGCATCTGTGAAGGGAAAAAACAGAGTTAACGTTTCTGGTCCGGTGACCCTTCCTCAGAACGATCAAAGAAAAGGGCTTGTCATACAAGGAACTGTTCAGCACTCTGGGTCTGTATTTGATAGAGTTTAGAAGGATGAGGGGGATTTGATTGAAACTTACAAAATACTGAGAAGCCTGGACAGAGTGGATGTGGAGAAGAGGTTTCGACTAGCAGTACAGTGTGGAACTGGGGGCACAGCCTCAGAGTAAGGGATGAGATAAGGAAGAATTTCTTCAGACGGTGATGGATCTGTGGAATTCATTGCTACAGAGGGCTGTAGAGGCCAACTCATTGAGTGCACTTCAGACAAAGGTAGATAGGTTCTTGATTAGTAAAGGGATCAACAGTTATGGGGAGCAGGCAGGAGAATGCGGTTGACAAATAGACCAGTCGTGATTAAATGGCAGATCAGACTTGATGGGCTGAGTGGCCTAATTCTGCTCCTGTGCCTTAGTGTTGTTGAGTTTTGGGCAATTAATTCAGCAAAGTGCTGGGTAGGGAGCAAAAAAGATCTACCAAGTAGATATGAAAAGCTAAAGAAACTGTGGCTCTTTGAGCAAGACAGAAAAAGTTACAGGAAAGTACAATAGAGTTGTAATCTTATGCTGAAGACAGAAGATGTATTTCCAATGGGCAAGTATTGAATGAAATACAAATTTAAAGATCACCATCAAGAGAATAGAGTCGCTAGGAAACTATTCGAAAGAAAGGTATGCAAGATATGACCTTAGCAGAAAGTGAAAGCAGTCTTGATAATACCTTTAACAGGGTCAATAATAAATATTTGAAAACATCAAAAAAAAAACAGAAACTGAATCCTGTAAGCCTTTGGCAGACAGGTGACTGCACTGTAAATTATAAGAAGATGCCACAGGGCATGATCACCATTGGCCAGTAGCCCAACTGAAGCTTTAAATTAGGCAAGACGATATCCAACCATGGCCCTCATCTCCTTGTTGCTCTTCTTAACAGCTAGCAAGGCTCAATATGCAGCCTGGTAGGTTTAACTGTGCAGGGTGCTGGTCTGATGTCAGGGGGAGGCTGGTTTTTGTCAAGGCTCTGTGGCAGAGTCCCTTTGCTACAATTCTGCTTCTCCACATCCAAGTTTCTAACCCACTGTACAACATGTCCCCCATAACATCTCCACACTGGTCTTGCTGAGAGCTGACAGCTTAGTTTCAGAGCAATCCTCATGTGTCTGAATGTCCGGGTGAATCACTGAACATTAAATTATTGATAATCAGTACCAAAACGGACACGATTCCTTCTAGCACGGCCAGTCTCCAATTGGTCAACAGCCTGGAGACAGACAGAAGTCTTACCTCATACTAAAAGAACTGTCACTTGTAAAAAACTGAAAGACAGGGCAATCCAGATTGTCCATGATATTTATGCTGGAATGCAGGGAACCCACCCTCCTCAGTACATAATCCAAACATGTGGGGAAAACAATGGGAATAGGACTAAATTTACAGCTGTCAGAAGCCCAAGCTGGCATTACAGATCAAGTGGCCTCTTTCTATTATCTAAAAATCTTCCTTATTGGAAGAAAATATTTTAGAAATGGTTCTGGTGACCTAGAAGATTTTTTTGTTTTGGCTACCATTGTCTAGCATCCCAAAGTGGTTACCCACTCCATGGAGACATGCAGCCAATTTAAATACTTAATGACTCAATTAGGGGTGATCACAGGTCCAGTGGCATTTTGTCAGTGGCAAAACACAAACCCCACTCACCCACCACATAAGACTAAGTTTTCCTGCAGCAGTTCAGAGTGCAACTGCAAACGGAGGCTGCGTCGTCTCTGAAGGCAATGCATAAAGGAAAGACTACCCCCTTGTATCCCAAACATTTCCCCACTAGTTTTTATTCAAAAAACCTTACTCAATACTGTCTTCATGCTGAGGAACTCTCGTGGACTCTAATCTGCCTCACTAGTGCTCAATTCTCCTGATGGGGTTGCCAGATGAATAAGGAATTGCCTATTGAGTATAGGAGTTGGGAGATCATTTTGCAGCTGTACAGGACATTGGTTGTCCACTATTGGAATACCGCGTGCAATTCTGGTCTCCCTGCTTTTGGAAGGATGTTGTGAAACTTGATAGGGTTCTGAAAAGATTTAAAAGGATGTTGCCAGGGTTGTAAGATGTGAGCTATAGGGAGATGCTGAATAGGGTGGGGCTATTTTCCCCGGAGTATCAGAGGCTGAGTAGTGACCTTAGACGAGTTTATAAAATATAAATTCATGAGAGACATGGATAGGTAAATAGACAAGGTCTTTTCCCTGGGGTGGGAAGTCCAAAACCAGATGGCATAGGTTTAAGGTGAGAGGGGAAAGTTTGAAATAGGACCGAAGGCGCAACTTTTTCACGCAGAGGGTGGTGCATTTATGGAATAAGCTGCCAGAGGAAGTGGCAGAGGCTGGTACAAATTACAACATTTAAAAGGATGTATATATGAATAGGAGGGGTTTAACAGGGATATGGGCCAAATGCTGGCAAATGGGACTAGATAATTTTAGGATATGTGGTCAGCATGGACAAATTGGACTTTGGGTCTGTTTCTATGCTGTATATCTCTAGGATATCATCCTTAGCTGAATGGCAAGTCTGGAGGCAGCCAATTAGGAGACTGCCTCCAGTGAAATCACTCAGCACGTGAACTTCCTGCATTTATGGGGTCAAGACTTCCAACTTAATCTCAAATCTTGCAGTAAAATCCCGAGTTTTACAAAAGAAAGCTTGAAAATAGTTAGCTACACTAAGGGGATGATCTGGTCCTGCTTTTAAAAATGTTGACATTGGATTATAAGAAATAGTAGTAGATTCTATAGCCTCAGGTTTCATATGCACATTGAAGTTTACATCAACTCACCAAATGCTTCCAATTTGTCTTGACTGACATCCAGTATTGGATAAATGCACGTTTTCTGAACTAAAATATTGACAAGACCGAAACCGACTGAATTGAATCGTGCAAGGCAGATTCCCTCCCCTCAGCTAAAAAGTTGCCAGGGAGGCCCTCTGCACCCCTCCAAACTGCAAGAGCACATTAAATTTAACCCACTGTAACTTGTCAGCAGAAACCTCTTTCCCCAGTCATCATTTTCATCCCTCTCCAACGAACTGTCTGAAGCGGAGCCAAACAATTAACAATCATGGATGTTCTGTTTGATCTGGTGATGCATTTCTAACCACATATATGCTCCATCATCAAGTTTGTCTATTTCCTCCTTTGTAATATTGCCTAGCTTCAATTCTGTCGCATCTTATTTCTTGTTGAAAGCGTCATTCAGGTCTTCTTTTCCTCTAAAATTGCCGATTCCGGTCCTCTCCCCATCAACTTTCTATCTGACCCCCCAACATAACTTGTGCACATCTAAAAACTTTTGCTGCCCATATCTTAATTTGTAAAAAGGGCCACTCACTTATTTCATTTGATAACCTATATTGGCTCCTGGTCAAGCTCTTAATTTTTAAGTCCTCCATGGTAATACCATTTTACTTCCAACTTTCTTCAGCTTCATAAACTTTTGAAATCGCTACACTTCTGCAATATTGGCAAATTGCACATTCCACTTTAAGGGTTCCATTATTCGTGGCTCTGCTTAGTTGCTTTGCCTCAGTAACTCCCTCCCTAAACATCTGTGACTATTTCTCACTCATCCTTCAAGATCCTGGAAATCAACCTACCTATTTGACCAAGGTTGTGGTTAAGTAGTTTGATGTCTCCTTTGCAGAGACATGTCAAATATTTATTGTAAAATGTTATTGCTGAGTGCTTTGGAATGCATTGCTACTTCAAGAGTACTATAGAAAATGCATCAAGATGTTTAAGCCCAGGCCTGCATTTTGCAATCTTCTGTTAAAACTTGGCTAATTATAGCCAGAAGAGAGTGCATTAAATATTACCCAATGTGCTTTAGCTGGTTTCAGCCCCTCTGAATAAAGGACAGGAAAATTAATCTCATGAAGGGTCTTGGCCCGAAACGTCAGCTCTCCTGCTCCTCCGATGCTGCCTGACCTGGTGTGTTCCTCCAGCTCCACCCTGTAGCAACTGACTCCAGGGTCTGCAGTTCTTGCTATCTCCGAACCACTTCCTATAGTACTTGCATAACAGCAAGAAGCTAAATGTCTTAGTGAGAATGAGTTTTTGTGAATCTTCATGAGATGATTTACGAAGAATTCGTTTCAGCATTAGCTAGCTCTAATTCTAAATTTTCAAACAGCTGCCATTACAACCATTTATTTGATGCATACAAATTGTGTAACTTGTGGAAGATTGAAATTAAATACTTACTCTTTTGTTGAGACAGATGACAGGCCACAGACTGCAACCCAAAGTGCAACAGCAACATAGACAACCACACAGAAGCCACTTCACATTGATGGGAAGATTTTTCTTTAAACATCCATTTACCCGACCAATGCTCATCTTGTACTCCTCTGGAGCCACCTAGAGCAAAAAGAAACAAATAAAAAAGAAAAAAAAAAGGCACATAATAATGTTTATCTAGAGCAAAAATAGATTTCAAGTCAACTTCAAGAATAAGTAGAAACAGTTATTTGACAAATGAAGTGGAACTGATTAAATAGTGACGTGGGATCAAACTGAAGGGTTTATGCAATTGAGTATCCAGTCACGTACAGTGTAAAGAGTGAGACAACCAGGGATTACTTTCAAAGTTCAAATCGGGTAATTTGCTCCAATATCTGCAAATGAAACTAGGATGTTGCTGTGCTCATGTTACAAACATTTCCAATTTTCTGAAGTTGCTATTTAACAATAATGTGAAATCAAAGCAAAACAGTGCCAAAATATTGTATTTAAGAATCTTAATCCTTAAATTTAGTCCACTTTCCTTTTTTTATTTCCTGTTTTTTGAAGTGTAAAGAGCATGTGACAATTTTCAATTTGATTTCCCTTTTCTACATTTGGTTTATTGGAATCGTGGATGAATTTCTACAATAATCATCAACTGTTTGACATTTACAATGTTAGGATTTAGGAATGCAAGTTTTTTTTTGTCCAAATCACCTTTCTTTACAACAGCAGCCAGTTTTATTGATAATTAACAGCAATTTTTAGAAGTCTTGCGAAGACTCTAAGAAACTCAACTGAAGTTCCAATGCACCTTCTGAAAGGTCACACAATATTAACAAATAGAAGAAATGTGGAAGACGTCAATTATTAATTGTATCAGTGAGTTTTGGGAGGTATTATAGATTTTGAAAATTAGGCAATAAAATAGTCAAATCTATCAATAGGTACAGATGCATCTGAGGAGGAAAGATTTACAGGATTTAAAAAATGTTACCAAACTCAAATGTTAATAATGAAGTAAACAGTGTGCTACAGAGTAACTGAAAATAAATTGAATTACTTGCGAAACTACTTGCAATTTGTCTTTGTATTTTTCCCCTCTTTCAAAGATTTACTATTTGGCTTAAAATTTCTAATCAAAGTATATTTGAGCAATTTTCAATTACAAGTACTTTTAGTCAAGAAAGCAATTTCAGATTATGGGCCAAGTAACAATTACAAGATGCACTTAAGATCAAGCTCAATAAGCGTTATTTCAGCTGGATGTGCATGCTCTATGCATACATAGTCCTCAAAGTTATTCAATACTTATTTCAATACTGGCAGACAGCAGTTTGTGGCTTTAACTTTAACAGAAACCCCATAATCAAATGCATTCCTTTTTTGTATGACTTGCATACGACATTCTTACAGGGAGGATCCATAAAGTTGTATATTTTCAAATGTCATCAAATGTCAGAAGAAAACATTTGAATCATTACCTCTAGCAATATATTTCTGTTGCAAACCATAACCCAGGTATTGCCATAAGAAAAATGCAAATTGGCATCCAGCTACTGGTCAGTAAGGCATGCTTCCCACACTGCAAATGACTCTTACTTCCTCTTAGCTTTATATTGGTCCTACCAATAAAACATGGTTGTAACATTTTACGACAGGATGCAAAAACACTTCACAAATAGTGAAAAGACTGGCAAAGCCCAGCAGGCTAACCATACCTCTTCAATCATAATAAGAAAGCCCTCTAATCTATCAACTGTCAGGTACAGTCACAATGCAACTCACTTGTTTATTGCTTACACTTCTCTGCAAAGCACAACCACCTCTCCACAGGCTCTTTCTTTGTTGCAGATTTAGAGTAGGAAGCTTCCTTTCTTCCTGGATATAGTAGGATTTACTCATCCAGCATGTCCCCTGGAGCTACGTACGACACCACAAGTGACTACACTACACTTTTAATCCTGCTTATTTGTGAGGGGGTGGAGGTAGATGCAGGGTAAAGAGAAGATATACAAGTCAAGAATAGAATTCTGCAAGGATTTGTTAACAGCAAAGCCATAAAACCAATGCTATGGAAAAGGCAATAAAAGGAACATGGTTGAACAAAAATGAACATGCACAGCAGGTATCAGGTATTAGTAAAGTGTGCCTAATCATCTAAGTTAGAAATATACATAAACAGATCTTGCAAAATGAGAATGAATAAGTCTCCCAATTCCTTTATTAGTCCTTTCGTGCAGAATTAGAATAAATTAGGCCATAATCTGCAAAACGACTGTGCTTGAATTCTCTCAATTACAACTGGGCTCAAAGTCCTGTGTTGTTGCATTTTTCATGCTTGAAGCAGCATCATCTACTCTAAATTTGAAGTTGATAAACATCTGTTACTAAAATAAAACAACTTGAAGGAATACTTGTTATATAGTCTTGTAGTCAGAATCTGGAACTAAATTAACCAGCATATTGTTGTCATTTATCTTGTGATAAGTACATTTTAATTTCTAACCATGACAACTTTATACCGGATCAAACCGGATTTCAGCTTCATTTAAATATTTTAAACTTTTTAATAGTGAAAATGTGTTATGATACTCTTATTGCCAAATTCAAACTAACACACCTCAGACATCGGGGTCTCAAAAATACCTTCCCCTCTCTTCTGCCTTCCGTCTCCCCTGATAAAGGTACACTCTTGAAAAGAAAAGTACTACTTCACATCCGGTGTATCAATGAATTTCAAATCCTAGCTGTAATGAACAATTTAATAAAATTGCTTTGGAAACATGAGTGCCACAATAGCCTTTTATGATTACTCCATACCCAGGAGTCCCAATATACCTGATCAAGGTATACAAGATTATGAGGACCATGGATACAGTGGATAGGAATCAGCTGTTCCTCTTAGTTGAAGGGTCAATTACAAGAGGTCATAATAAAGAAAGGCAGAATGTTTAGAAGGGATTTGAGGAAAAAAAAAACTTTTCACCTATAGGGTGGTGGGGATTTCTTGAAAGATCATTTGAAATGTCATAACATTCAGTGCCATAAGCCAAGTGCTGGAAAGTGGGAATAGTGTAGATTTACAATAGTTTTTTCTGTTGGTGCAGATGGGCTGAAGGGCCTCTTCTGTATTGTATAAATTTATGATTCTAGAGTGAGAAAAAAGTTATTAGTAGACAATTGGGAAATAAACGAAATGAACAAACAAACATTTTGCTGGTCTTCACTACACAGGATACTTTTCCGGTACAGGGGGTTCTGCTATAAGTTATGTCCCAGCAATACGAATTGGCTATAACACAACTGATGAATAAGGGAATGCTATTTCTACAACATGAACTTGTGTTGGCTATAACACGATTCCATTGGTGACCTTATTGTTGATGTTTTGGAAGATGTTTTTAGAAAGTTTAGCAGGGAAAAAAATGGATTTCAAGATTCTCCTCATTCTGGATAATGTGCTATTAGGGGATAAAGACAGTGTTCTTCAATTTTTGGAAAAGCTTTAACATGAAGAATGCAATTGACATTATCATGGAGGCCTGGGGTGATGTTAGTAAGGACTCCTTGCATGCAGTTTAGCAGACATTGCTCCCAGATTTTTCAAGATGTTAATATTTTGATTCTTGGGAGCTCCTCTGATGAATCCAAGAACATTGTGTTGATGTTACAAAGCAAGTTGGATTTGGAGAAGTGGAGATTGAGGATACTTGAGTCCCAGTGTAAAGATCTCTCTACAGCTGATCTACAACAATTTGTCACTGAGGGGGAAGTGGAAATTGGTAGAAGAAGATAAAATCCAGGATGCAGCACCACGAGAACTATCCACTTCTGTTTTATCTTCTATCCTGAAGAAAATTGAAAAGCACTTGCAGCGGACAATGATTACAATGCAGAACGCAGCAGGATAGCAGCTCATGGAATAAGATCTTACTTAGCTCTCCATGAACAGCTTCTTCATGAAAGACAAAGGGCAAAGCAGCAAAAACTGGATGTTGTTTTTAAGACAACCCCCAAGAAACAGTCAGAAGACAATGAACCACAGCCATCCACTTCTGGATTATCTATTTTTTTTGCCCTAACCCTGCAACCACAACTGCACCCGAAGGTGATGATGATGACGACCCTCAGTCCCTGCATTAACAACAAAGCAACCTCAAAACCTCCCCCATCAAGTTATCTTGACATTTTTTTTTCAAGAAGAGGTGTTAAATTTACTTTTATTTCATTATTAGATATGAATTAAACATTTATTCAAATTGTGCTATCCTTTGTGTTAGGCTATTGAGTGATTTGAGTGAAATGGAGTGATTTTTTTGGTGGTCTGCCCCTAATTCCACTTTTCCCATCAGCCCTGTTATTTCTATAGCGAGATTTTCTACAACTTGAACAAGAATGCAACTATCGCTTTATAGCGGAACTCCGTGTAATAGCTCTAGATTTGAAATGGAAGGGACAGTGTAATTTTACTAAGTTTCAGTCACCAGAGAAGTGGCACTAAGCAAACTGAAGAATCTGCAATCTGAAAATTTTTCACGTCCAGGTAGACTTTTTCCTAGAGTCTGAAAGGTGGTTAATGAGCTGGTAGTGAACTACGTGTTGATATTAATCTGCCTCTAGGCTCAAGAAAGGTGCCGGACTGGAAAGTAGCAAATATAACTCTCTTCTACTCAAGAAGGGAAGGAGGCAGAAAACTATAGACCACATAGCTGGATGTGGATCACGGGGAGGATTTAGAATTGATCATTAAAGGGATTATAGCTGTGCACTTAAACATAAAAAGGTAATCAGGAAGCATTAGCAGGATTTTAAAGGGAAATCATATTTAACCAATTTATTTCAAGTTCCTTAAAAGGTGAAACATGCGCTGTGTATAAAGGGGAGCCTGTAGACACATTATACTTAGATTTACAGAAGACGTTTGATAAAAATGCCACATCAAAAAATAACGCAAAAAAAAGTGCTAATGGAGAGGATAACGCATTACAAAGCTATGGGATTGGTTGTTTGGCAGACAACACAGTATGCATAATTGGATCTTTGTCTGATTGGTAGGACGTGATGAGTGAAGTCCTACTGGAGTGTATGCTGGGCTGAAATCTTTTACAAATTAAATCAATGACTTAGATGATGGAGTGAAGGTGTGGTAGCTAGGAGTTGCAGATAACATCAAGTTGGACAGGAAATTATGTTGTGAAGATGATACAAGGAAGCATTAAGATAGGTTGAAAGGGGTGGTAAAAATTAGCAGATAAGAGTATAATGCTGGAAAGCGTGAAATTGTTCACCTTGTCAGGAAGAATAAAACAGCAGAGCTTTACTTAAATGGAGAGCAACTAGACTCCTGAACGCAGAGGGATTTAGGTGTTTTGGTGTACAAATCTCAAAATATTAGTACGCAAATACAGCATGCAATCCAGAAATGTAATGAGATGCTAATTATTACAAGTATTTATTACATGAAAATAATTAAAAACAGAAAGCTAGAGAAATGCAGCAGGCCTGACATCACCATCTGTGGAGACAGGAATAAAAGTAATATTGAGAGTCTGATAGGGCTCTTCTTTGGGATTAATATTATGCTTCAGTTATCCAAGGTATTGGCAAGACCACATCTCAATTACTGTGTGCAGTTTTGGTCTCCTTATTTAAGGATGGATGTAAATGCATTGGAAGCATTGCAGAGAGGAATTCTGGATTGATACCTGGAATAAGTGGGTTATCCTTTGAGGATAGGTTGGACAAGCTGAGCTTTCAGTCAAGTCTTCTCAACTTGAGTGATAAGGGTCTAGGCCCGAAACGTCAGCCTTCCTGCTCCTCTGATGCTGCTGGTCTGCTGTGTTCATCCAGCTCTACACCTTGGTTATCTCAACTTGAGTGAAGATCGGTCTTAACAAAGTGAACGTGGGAAGGATAACACAGTGTGGAGCTGGAGGAACACTCTTCTTCAGAAGTCCCGACCCAAAATGTCAACTTGCCTGCTGCTCTGATGCTGTGTGGCCTGCTGTGTTTCTCCAGCTCCACACGTTATCTCTTACTCCAGCATCTGCAGTTCTTCCTATCTCAGACGTGGGAAGGATTTTTCCTCTTGTGGCTCAGGCCAGAACTAGAGGGCATTGTTTTAAAGTTATGGGTCATTTTTTCAGGCCAGCGAGGATAGATTTTTCTTTGAGGGTTTTGCAACTTTGGAACTGTGGAACTGTGGAACTGTGGAACTGTGTCTCAGGTTGTGGAGGAGACAGGGCCATTGAATAATTTTAACACATAGATAGATTCTTGTCAAGTAGGGAACTCAAGGGTTTTTGGGGTAGATGGGAGTGTGGAATACAAAACACAAATGGATCAGCCATGATATTATTGAATGGCAGAGCAGGTTCAAGGGGTTGAATGGTCGACTTTTGCTCCAAATTCATATGTTCTGAGGAAGGAAGAGGTGGTGAAATATTTCAGAAAAGCAAACCAATGTTTATACAAAGAATTCCCATTCAAGTGAGAATCAAATGTGCTTTACACCTCAATCAATGCAGTTCGAACATTATGCAAAAATCAAAACACTTCAGAAATGGTGTCCAATAATCAGAGTACTTTAATCTCTAGATGAACGAGTTAAAATCAAAGTGACACAGATAATATGCAAGAGGAACTGGTTGCATATTTTTCTGATTCTTTCCAAAAATAAAGCATTGCAGGACCGAAGAATAAAAGGTAGTTTGGAACAACTTTTGTGCAACGAGACTGGGTTAGTTAATACTCTTTTGATAAAAGATGCTCTGGTAACAAGTGATCATAGTGCAACTGAGTTCTGAATTCAGTTTGAAAGCAGCATACTCCAGTTCAACAAAAATAAATATAACCAATTTCATAGGTATGAGGGACAGCTGGTTAAGGGTGATTGAATAAATAAGCTTAATGTGTGGTGGTAAATGAACAAGCAATTAAAACTCTGAAAAAGATCTATGGCAGGAATACTATTTCCTGTTCTGGTCACCCATTATAGGAAGGATATTATTAAGCTGGACAGGTTCAGAAGAGATTTACCAGGATGTTGCTGGGAATGGAGGGTTTGAGCTACAAAGGAGAGGCGGGATAGGCTGGGACTTTTTTCACTGAAGTGTAGGAGGTTGACAGGTGACCTTAGGGAGCTTTATTAAATCATAAAGGGGTATAGTCACCATGAATGGCAGGCGTCTTTTCCCTAGGGTAGGGTATTTCAAGATCAGATAGTATATCTTTCTAAGGTGAGGGGAGGAAGATTTTAAAAAGACACAAGGGGCAACTTTTTTTTTTAAAAAAAGGTACAGAGTGGTTCACGTGAGGAATGAACCTCAAGAGGAAGTGGTGGATGAAGGTACAGTTACATTTAAAGTGACATTTGGATAAGTACATGAAAGAGAGATGTTTGGACAGACATAGGCCAGGCACAGGCAGGTGGGACTAGTTTAGTTTGGGATTACGGTTGGCATGGACCGATTGGACTGAAGGGTTCATTTCTGTGCTGTAAGACACTATCACTATTGGCTTAAAATAAGCTTACAAAATGTCACCATGAATAGCAGCAAGGCAAAGGATTAGGCGTTTTAGAAATAAGCAAAGGGCAACCAAAATGTTGATATAAAAAAAGGGGGAAAAAAAACCACAGGAGTATACAAATCAGGAAAATAAAATCATTTGTAAGAGCTTTTGTAAATAGATTTAAAAAAGGAGAGAAGGTGAAGTAACTGTTGGTCTTTTAAAAGCAGAGGCAGATGTAATTACAATTAAGAATAAGCAAATGGCAGAGGCATTGAACAAGATGACAATTTTCATACTTGAAAGAGAGGGTAACTAAGGGGCCACAAAGCTTAAAAAGGGACTAAAGGCTTCATGATCTTAGTTCAGTTGCTGTTACAAAATAAGATATACAAATTTAACCCTTAGAAGACCTTAATAATACGTACTGTCAGTAAATAATTAACCTTGACTCAATATACTTCATGCTATCTACCTTATCTTGCTGAAGTATTTTCTGAAAATCCTCAGTATTAATTTAAGCTATTCAGCAGGACAAACCCAATGAAATTAAGAGAAACTAGATCAAGCAAGATACCAAGCTGGGGGGGTGGGGGTAGGGGCAGGAAGACAGAAATCAGTTTTAAACAACTACTCACCTTCCCTGTAAGCACTGAGGGAAATTCTGGATCAAATTTGTTGCTGAGGCCAAACCTTAGGAAGAAACAAAGAAATGTTTAAATGTTGCTTATTCAAGGAGAAGAGAGAGAGTGAGATTTTATGGCAAATATGTTACTGGGCAAGTACAATTCAAGGGTTCACGATTATTCCTTTTTTTAAAAAAATCCAAATTTTGCCGGATGTAATATTTTCAAAACAAGGAATTTCCATAACAATTGAAGCTTTTCCATGGACGATCCAAAGATCCAGTATAAACACCATTAGTCCACGATGTGGAGGTGTCCGAGTTGGACTGGGGGTAGACAAAGTCAGAAGTCACATGACACCAGGTAATAGTCCAACAAGTTTATCTGAAGTCACAAGCTTTCAGAGTGCTGCTCCTTCGTCCTGACTAAGTTATGGTGGCTACCTCCAAATATTCATTCTGGTTTCAGAGTAATGGCAGATAGAACACCCAGGACCCAGCTAACATATTTAAATAAAAAAATTTCGGGGATGATAATTTCAAGCCTGCATTTTAAAATTGGGAACATTTCCCTAAAAAGGAACATTAACAGCTCCTATCTAAGAATACCTGGTTTATTGCATAGTCATTGAAAAGGGGATCCTAAGCAAGTACAGTGCATCAAAACAACTCCTAGATGTTTCAAGTATGAGAAATCAAAGCTGACAAATGTCATTTGATCTTGCAGCAAGATTTCACAATACACAAAAATGGGACAGATGAAAATATTTCCTGACTCACTCAAATAAAATTCTTTCCATCTCAGAATGGAGTGCACACAAATACAAAATATTAGCAAGGATCATAACTCACTGTTTACTATAAATAGCAAGTTCAATAACATATCAAGTTACAGGTAGTACTGGAAAATAGAAATAAAATCCTATAATCCAGAGTTTGACGAGATTCCAACACAACAAAAAAGATACACATTTCTAAAAAAAAAACTAAAGAAAAGCAATTAAAGAAATTGTCATCTATCCCTGCAATTACGTTCCCAAGCTCTCAAAAGCTCAGCAGAAAGTCAGGGTGTGCACTGTATTTTTCCCTTCTTTTAGGAATGGAATTAAAAGAAGCCGAGCTTAGCAAAGCCTCCATATTTCACTGCTCAGCCATCTAATAGGTAGCTGATAACCAACTTGCTGGAGGGTGGTACACTTATTACTCTTAACACTTCTTTCCCTGCTGCACCTCAGTGACATCACTGAAATTCAGCACCTGTTTTCCATTATTGACACCCAGCTTTCTCTCTCCTGACTCCAACTGATCAGTGCTTATCTAATATCTGGCCTTGGAAAAACAGATATTTCCTTCATTTATAAATTGGGAAGACTAAAGTCAATGAATTTGGTCTTTTCAACAACCTTCATTCCCTAACCATCAACTCAATCCCTTACCATGATTACTATCAAGATGAAACAGACTGTTCAACTTTGGAATTTTGTGTCACCCTCAGCTCAGCTTCTAGCTCCATACTCCTTCCATCATCATGATCAATTACTCCTACCATTGTAACAGTCTCCATCAGCTGCTGAAATGCTTAACCCTGCCTTTGCCATTTGCTAACCTGACTTCAGATGATGAGAGGCATAATATTTCACTTCATCACCACGCTGCCATCAATAGTAGTGCACATATCAGAAATTACTTAAGTCACTTACATCTTTGTTTTCACACATACAATAGGTAGGGAGAGGCAAGAAATGTGAAAATATACAAATAGTCCTCAAATAGTCCAGAATTTCTTTTCCTGAATGAAGGTTTAGACACTTCAAGTTCCACAGCATTTCAAAACGCATGCAGAAAATTTAGAGAAATTACATACCATAAAAACTTAAATTTACTTGATGTCCAGCCACTATTAGTTAAAATAAACATTGCTAACTGGAAGAGGAAATTGACGTGAGCTTTAAAGTTTGCAGTGATGACTTAGTATTACCATTTACTGTGCCATTTTAAGTCTAACTTGCAGCAAAAATGTAATACTGCTGCCAACTGAAGCTACTGGCAGATATCTTACAGATCTGAAAGCCTTGAAATGCAGTGACGGCCGTTCCTCTTTCTGTTTCAAGGATTATTTCAATGGTGCTCTGTTAGATTGTGATAAAATAGATACTAACTGACATAATTCTGAAACCAGAGATGTCCTTTCCAATTTTCTGCTACCCAATGAAGAAAAACGCAAGAGGTATTCAGTCCACCTGCTAGATTTCACAGATTACAATGTATTGCGGAACATTTTTCTTGCCAATGGCAAAATAAAACCAAGTATAAATAATCACAAAGCTATTATAGACTATACACGCCAAACAAACAAGATACTTCATCTATCCAATCGGCTGTTTCTCAATGGGAAAGCAATATTCAATCTAGCCAACTGATCACCTTATCAACTAGCAATTTAATGCTGCACACTAATTGAAAGGTAAACTGGACACAATAGCAATTCTAGCAAGCACAAACTGATTTTGCAGCTCAGGGAAGGTTGATACTGTAGCACAAGTAAATAATTACATGATAAAAGCTTGTCAAATAATAGGATATTTTTATGTCCTCTAGAAACAAAATTCAAATTTACATGTGTTACGCAATATCAAAATTTCTCCATTTTATTTTCTCCTCAGGCGATATTCTTTTTCATCAACTTAGCACAGCAGGATGGTTCAATGGTTAGCACTGCTGCCTCACAGTGCCAGGGACCTGGGTTTAATTCCACCCTCCAATGTGCAAACTCCACACAGATATTCTCCCAGAGTCTGCGTGGGTTTCCTCTAGGTATCCAGTTTCCTCCCACTGTGCAGGTTAGGTGGATTGGCCATGATAAAATTACCTATAGTAACCAGGAATATGTAGGTTAGGCAGAATATCCATGGGAATAGCTGTGTTAAAGGGATAGGAGTATGGGGTTGGGTCTGGGTGGGTGCTCCTCAGGAGGGTCAGACTGGACTCGATGAGCCGAATAGCCTGCTTTCACACTTGAGGGATTCTGTGCTTCTATGACATTACTTCCATGATTACATCAATGCTCTTCAACCAGTAGGCTGAATCTGAAGGCATTACAGCAAAACTCAGTTTCCCTTCTGCACATCCCAGGATGCTCAGAACTTGAAATAAAAAGTGCTGGAAATACATAGCAGGTGAATCAGAACCTGTTGGGAGATCAGACGAGTTAATGCCTTGAGTGTAGCAAGGTATTTTGCAAAAAGCCAAAATCAGTACAGCTAAAATGTCAGGACAGATTTACTTTAGTTCATCCATTATAGCAAGATATTATTTTCAACTATACACAAAATGCAAATCAACTGTGTACTGTCCCCTCCATGTATTGCTTTTAAGACAAATAATTGCTAACTATGATCACTGAAAGATCAGTTTTGCCAAAAGAAACGGTGTTCTGAATACAACCCATCTGCTAGTATAGAGATAGAGACAACAAAGTGTAGAGCTGGATGAACACAGCAGGCCA